TTCTCCGTTTTTTATCAATACATTTAAACAATTTACTCGGGGATCGGAGATTAATGCGGTTAAGAATGCGGTTCACTGGGAAGTACGGATAATTTATAGGAAATCTTGAATCTGGTGCTAAAAAGATCGCGAAGTTTATAGGCGAATCTACGTGGATCGCCTTTTAGAATGTTTTTGTAATTAGGAAACGTGAGGTTGACCTCAAATTTCTTTAGATGGATTCGCGGGGTGAGTCTACTAGTTTGTTTTGATCTAGCAATTGCGCTAGTTTTTGAAAATAGGGGAAAGGATCTTGGTTTGAAATAAGGGATTTAATTTGGAATCTTAATCTCTTTTCTCTTTTTTTCGTCCGCCTTTAGTAGGCATGGAGATAATGCAAAAAGAATTACAATAATAATGTTCCGGAGAATGGTCGTAAGACAGGGATCACGCTATTGGTAGCGACAGTCATAACAGCTCTGGATATGAGAAAATTATAAATTCTCCGAGGAAGTGTTAATAAACGGGGGCCATACTATTGACAGCAACAGTCCCTCGAATAGCCATATATATATATATATATATACATATATATATGTTTATGTATGTACTTGTATGTAACCGAAGATCAGAGATTTAGATTCCGTCCGATTCAATATTTCCGTTTATTAAAACAAGCAAAACAATGCGAAAAAGAAAAATGTAGAAGTGTGGTTCTGATGAAGTGCGAGGATAGTTCTCACCTTGATCCGATTATGCTGGATAGATTTCTACTTACTCGGTTTGCGAATGAATGACTAAATAACTGTAAATAAGGCTGAACGTATAACTGCAAGTAAGATTGAACGTATGTAATGATTGAATGTGTATCTGAATTTATAACTATAATTGACCTGTAACTGTAACTGTAACTGCAACTGTAACTGTAACTATAACTATAACTGACTGTTTTTGACAGCTTCTTTTATACAGGGTGGGCCATCTATTGGTACGTTTTTAAAAATGCGATCAAATGAGCATACATTGATATTTTTTATTAATTTTTTTTTTGTTGTGAAGCTAAAAGTATCCGCGTCAAGAATGAAAAACGATTTCGTTCATGTGGCTCCCTCTACTGGCCTTACAGTATGCCATTCGGTCACCCCAATTATTAATGACATTTTGGACTACCTCGGCGCCAATTTCACTCAAAACAGTCGTAATATTGTTTTTCAAAGCTGGAATTGTCTCTGGATTATCCGCATAACATCGGTCTTTAACGGCACCCCACAGGAAAAAGTCCAGCGGTGTCAAATCGCAGCTACGCGCAGGCCAATTGACATCTCCTGAACGGCTGATTATGCGGTTGTTGAACTTGGTGCGCAGAAGGTCGATGGTAAGTCGGCTTGTATGGCATGTGGCGCCATCTTGTTGAAACCAAAGGTCGTCCACATTCATAGTGTCGATTTGAGGCCATAAAAAGTTGGTCAACATGGCTCTGTAGCGTTCGCCATTGACGGTAACGGCGTTTCCAGCATCATTTTCGAAGAAAAATGGGCCAATTATGCCACCACTCCAAAATCCACACCAAACTGTGACTCTTGGAGGATGCATTGGTCTCTCTACGATTGTGTGTGGCTGTTCCGAGCCCCAAATCCGGCAATTTTGCTTGTTCACATATCCGCCGAGATGGAAATGAGCTTCGTCCGAAAAGATGATTTTTCGACCAAAATCGACGTCATTATTGAGCTGGTCTATAGCCCACACAGCAAACTGATATCGAAGCGGATGGTCATTTGCTTTCAACTCCTGAGTCATCTGGATCTTGTAGGCGAATAATCCGAGGTCTTTGTGCAGTATTCTCCTCAGGCTGGTGCGACTAATGCTCAGTTGCTGCGATCGGCCTCGAGTTGAAGTCGTCGGATTCTGTCTCACACTTTGGGCCACAGCCTCAATATTCTCGAGTGTGCGCACTGTCCGAGCTCTGGGACCACTTCTGTCATCCACTAACATCCCTTTCTCACGAACTTTCCTCACCAATTTGCGTATAGCTCCTTCGGTGGGTGCTCTATCACGACCCATATTTCTTTTCAAAATTCGTACAGTTTCGGCGACACAGCACTGACTTTGAAAATAAGTTTTTAAAATTTCAAAACGCTCTTCAAGAGAAAACATGTTGTTTCGTGCCGCGGACGGTATGACTAATAAACTGTCAAAATTTCGGGTCTGTAGCTCGTTCGGTGTTGCCATACGACGAAATTCAAAAACGTACCAATAGATGGCCCACCCTGTACTTTGAAAATGGGAATGTTCTGAAAGGATCAATCAATATTCCTCAAAATTTGGTAGAATATATACTCGCGCTTTCCTTGAGATAAGGCAGCAAGGCTCCACGTAAACCATACTCTCCACTCTACAAATTTATTCTTAATAAGTAATAGTTGAGTTTTAATAATTTGTAATAAAAATTCGGGTTTCCTTAATATTCTTTATGCGAGGCGAATCCACATTCATATGTTTAAAATTAATTTAATTTTATTAGAAAAAGAAAAAGGAAGAAAAAGATATTCATTCTCGCATTCAGGAAGATTTTTATTTTACTGCTAATTATTTAATTCTTAAACGCTAATATAATATATACTATTACTAATGTTAATGTACGCTTTTATTTATAATAATGTTAATATACGTTTTTGTTATTTTATAGGAGGGCTTCTTTGAGAAAGATTGTGTGATATTCTTAAACATTCTTTAGAATAATCTGTAGATAATTTGTATGATGCATAAAAGTGATCTATCTGTTGGTTTGAATGTTGAAATAAAGAAACTAAATATATCCTCCTATAAAAGAGAAAAGGAATGTTCGGTTTTGAAATAAAGATAAAATAGGGACGAAATATTAACCTAGAGATAAGATAAAAATAAGGTATAAATCGTATATCTACAATAAAGAATGAGAGGATTTTATCGGGATGTAACACGGGAAACGGCGAATCAATCAGAGCGGAGGGAGGATGGAGGCCCTCGTACGGAAAAATACACCTCATGCGATCGAGCGAGAATGGCGACAGTGTTGGGCGACAGACGTGAGGCGATGTCAGTGTCACAAACGCCAACGCTAACCGTAAACAACGCGAAAAGCACCAAATTCGATAGCGACGATAGCATCAAAAACCGATAAAAACTCTCGCCCACCGTGAAGGCTGGCTAGCTCTACATAACAACAGAGAGGCGGGATATTTAGGTAAGGGCCATGTTGGCAGGAGGGTGGATGAGTCTAGGACGAAAGGCCCAAGAATACAATCGTCAAATATAGCAATTACAAGCGCATTTATTATAAAAAAAAAGAAATAAAAGGAGTAATAATACAAAAAAAAAACAAAACAAAAATGACCGCGCTCTTTTGAGAAAAAAAAATAGAGAAAAGAACTTTTTAGAGATCAAGAAAATAAAATGGAATAAGCATCTAGAACATAGAATAGCGAGAGTAGGTAGAGAGAATGCTATTGTAACGGACGCAAGAAAACGTGAAGTCGCTTTAATAATTAACTGAGTCTCACTATTCACGCCACCACTCAGAACATATTCTATCGCGAGATTCGAAACCAAAAATTCCATATCACACTCATTTTCTAGCGGTGCACGCACATGTCGGAAAATACACACGGTATCACTTACAAAATGAGACATACACACGAGAGCGTTACGATTAATTCGAAAATTTTCAAACCCGAGCGCGACAAGCAAATTACTCGCATTGAAGATAAACATACTTTTCGCGCACCGAAAGCAAATATGCAACGCCGATAGCTCACAACAAAATTTATGACCACACGCCAAACTCACACCGAAGGTATGAGAATGTTACAAGTCATCAAATTATAGGCGGACCCTGTCCGTTGCAATAATCTAAACTAACTATTAATGCGACGCTATTCTCCTCGCGAATACAGCCGCTCCGTAGCATGCACACACGAAAGTCCACGCAAAATCAACGGAAACCTCGGCCCTCGATGCTCGCTCCAATGTTGTACTCGAAATATGATGGCGAGATGATGGTTCATCGGACCGCGATCTCCAAGGGCTTGTATCACGATTTAAAGTTATTCTCAATAACTTATTACAACCGAGCTCAGGAGCTTCTCACGTTTGACGCCGACCATGCCGTATTTGATACAATACAAATGTGCCGCTTATGACGGACTTCGCACTAACATTAAATTGGCGTGCTGGAAGTAGAATGCAAAGGTGACCTCTACGCCCCGTTGAATGCAAGTTTATAAGAATCTATAGCGAAAAGAGCAATCTCACTGATATCCGTTGAACACGTGCTCCGAGACTCATGATCCGGGACCTCTTTCTCTCATCTTTCCATGCATACACTCGCACCGGACCGGGACATTGTTGCAGTTCGGCGGCTCGAAACTGAAGAGGATGAGTAAAATCAATCGATGCGCGATCAATTCGCGAGTCCTCTCGGGACGTGCAGCCGCATCGCGCGTTGCCGCGATTAATTATCAAGCTCGCGACTCATGGTAGAAGGGATTGACATGATGTGCCCAGTTTGAGCAAATCACGCTCCTTTTACGAATCGAGATACTGTTCAGAACCAAGGCCCGCCAACCTGCAAAGAAAGAAATAATGTTACTGCGATTGATCTCTATGCATCTTTGTCAGATCTTGCTTTGTGTTCTTTTCTCTCTTCGTTTCGAAGCGTTGAGCAATCCGAGCAACATCAACTATCAAGCAAGTATATCAACTGGCATAAATGACTGTCAAACATCTGACAGTCCAAAATGGTTATAATTTTCACAGATGTCTTTCAAAACATGTCCTCCCGATCTATTATTGCCGAAAGTACGGCTCACCGAGCGAACGGCGCACGAACCGTGAGGAGTGGGAATGGCCTAGTAGGCGCGCCGCGCCGTTTGAGCTTAGATGCTCGCGACGGTAAGCTCCCCCCACTCCTCGCGGTCCGCGTGCGTATTCGGCTATCTTTAAACGTTAATATCTCGTTAATTAATTTTGTAAGACATCAGAGTAATAGACATAAAATATGATACAAGACTATAAATTAACATAAACATAAATAAATAGACAATAGTAGCTTGCAAATGATTAGGCTAGCAGGATTGCTCTTACAAAGCCTATCAGTAACAAAATTAGAATAAGATAATGCAATAAGAGGTAAACTAATAGCTGTAATCATACACATACACACACACACGCGCGCGCGCGCGTAAAACTCACTCACACACGCACATACATTCGCAAACACACCAATTACATCAGTCTCGTTTAAATACTGTGAGTGATGCAATGAAACGCGAGGTAGCGGAATGAAAGAAGGATAGAGAGAGAGAGGTTTTTATTGAATCAGGAAGGGAATTAAAATATTTGACAGAGGTGTAGAAGAAAGCGGCACTGAACTTAGTGGACCAATATATGGGGAAGAACAAGTAATCTTGGTATTTGGTGACAAGAGGGTTAAAAGAGAATGATGATCAGTTTTCAACTGAAAGAGACGTCGCAGATATAGAGGAATATTGGAGTTAAGGAGAGAAAATACAAGACAAGTGGAGAATAAAACGTTGTCAAATCTTAAGCTAGATCTCTGGTAATACGGAGATATATGGTCGTATTTACGAACGTAATAGAAGAAGCGGAGAGGTTACTGAAACATCAATTGGGTGAAAGGATTTAAGAAGAATTACGTCATTTGCATACATAGAGAGTTCGGAGGACAGAGAAACATTAGACAAATCGGAGACAAAAATATTAAAGAGTAAAGGTCCGAGAATGGAACTCTGGGAAATACCAGAGAGAACGGCACGAATAAAGGAAAAAAAGAAGAAAAGAATTATATACGAGGACTTACTGCGTGCGATTTGTAAGGGACGAGCTGATCAAGGAGAGAGCAGGATGGGAAAGATCGTATGACTTCTGATTGATTAAAAATCATGATTGATGAAAACATGATCGAAAGCCCTTATGAAGTCCAGCGCAACGATGGAAGTAAGGCGATAATTGTCGAAATTACGAAGCACGACGTTAGTGATGTGAAGCAATTCCGTCGTCGTGCTGTGAGATCGACGAAAACCAGACTGACAGGAGGGAAGGATATTAAAATTTGAGACAAAGGCATTAAGCTGTGAGAAGCAGATATACTCAAGCAGCTTTGAGAGGGAAGGAGGGAGTGAGATAGGTGAAAAGATAAAGGAGAAGAGGGGTTAATAGTTTTAAGAATGGGAAGAATAATTGAGTGTTTCCAGGAGGAGGGAAAGGTATTGTGAGAGAGGGAGAAGTTTAACATAAAGAGAAGGGGATCAAGACATTGAGGAAGGCACAGTAGGAGCATGCAACAGGAGAGATCAAGCGGTCTAGGGGAAGTCAAACGAATATGCTTCAAAATATTATAGAGATCACTAGGAGTGATTGGAGCAAAATTGAAGGTCGAAGAAATGTGACAAGAGGAGGAAAGAAGGTGAGTAAAAGAATTAAAAGAATAAGACGAAGAAGGTAGAGTATAAAAGAAATGATTATTCAGGAGAGGGTTTCTGAGGTGCAGAGATATAGAAACAGAGGAGGATTATGCATCGCCAAGGGCACGGAGATTTCTCCAGAATTGGAGCGAAAAATGAGTTGTAAGGAAGGTAGAGAGAACTTTTTCTCACGACAAATAGCAATATTTACGTCGTTTCGCAAATTCTTGTACCACTGCCAGTAGGAGACTGAGATCGTCTGTATCTAAGAAGCACTCAGAGGCACTCTTTTCAGCTTAAGGGGGGAAACCACAGTAGAGCACGAAAAAGTAAGTATATGGTATTTTCGGGAATTTTTTTTGACTCAATGAAATAATCAATCAAAAATTTGTAAAATAAGCATTATAATATTATGAATGAAGTACAAATAAGAATTTTTTCATACATTTTTGGTACAAAATGGCGGCTGTGCCGCACTTGTCCGATGACACCTATTTTTGAAGGAGGGACCATGGGCGGACATCTAGAGTCCTTAATTTTTGACCTGGAACAAAAAAATGACAGTTTTTTAGGTTCTATATGTCAATAGCTATGGAAGTACGTAGGATTTTTTCGATATATTAATTTTTCAAAATGGTGCACGTTTTAAGGAAAACTTGCAAATTTAACAAAAAAAAACGCCATAAAATTGTTGATAAAAAAAACCATGTAATATAAAAAAAACCCTACGCACTTCCATAGAGAAAGGTATTCTGAATATACTGTCAAAATTTGAAACCGATCGGTAAAGATTTATTCGAGTTATGTGTCCGCCCAGTTTAAAAAAAGTGGTTTCGAGAAAAACGCGTTTAAAGTTTTAAGTACTGTAAAATCATATAATATTTTTATATACCTCTAATCTGCGATGCCTGCGCCATATAATTGGCCTTCTTCATCTATCTCCTGCTCTTGTTTGGCCTTTCGAATTGTTTTCAGATCGATGCGGGCCTATTTTGCGCCCTCACTCAAAGATCGTTCCGCTTTCTGTATGCGTTTCTCATCCAAGTCCATGCATAGTTCGTGACTTTTTGGGCCAATTTTCATGCCCATGACCTGGATTATATGTAAAATTGATATTAATCCGTCGTTAAAAACACACGAAGCGATGTTCGTAGCAATGTCGATGATTATTTTGCCGGAATTCATAGTTTTCGGAGCCATCGCCCACACTGTCGAGTTGAAGCTCTCATTGCTGTTTTGAGTGAAACCCCCGATGCAGCGAGTGAGAAGATCATCCGTAGTGAGTTGTTCGTAAACTGGCTTAATTGCTTCATAAACTATATCAGACATTAGTGATTTGTGCGTATAGGTAGCAAAGTGTTAGAAGATTTCGCCCTTTGCCATGAGCACCATGAATTTTCTCCAGTCGGGCAATCGTCGTGTTGGGGATGGTTATCCGTAGATATTTTGTGAAGTAATGTGGCCTATATAACTGTCTTCATTTTTTCGACTGATTCGCAATTTCTACGAATAGCTAATCCGAAATATATTGACAGTCGATCAGTTTGCCTGTCAATTGACATTCGGTTTACTAACGTTACACACGTGTTCTTTGAATGTATATTACATATGGTGATATCTATAGGCATTCTTAAGTACTATAGATTTTTCGGAAGGAAGTTCCTTCTCCATCGACTGTCATTATATAATACCTGCTCCCGTACTCATAAATTACAGCGCGCGCCGGAATCACAAAAGGCGCTCGGAGCATACCTGAGAGGCGTTGCCACAGAATGGAAAATTTGGGTATTCCGAAATTTTTGCGGCACTCCATCTTTTGGTATGTTATTCTTAAGACCCTAAAGCACTTACTTATAAGCGATAAAAAATTTTTTCGATTTTTTCAAACTTTTACTGTGGTTTTCCCCCCTTAATTAGCCGTCGGAGTGCATCATTCAGTCACGGCGCGGGGGGACGAGAAACACGTCTACAAGTAATCGGAGCGAGTCGGTCAAAGATTACAGTAAGAGATGCCATAAAGTGAGAGACTATCTCATCAACATGCGACGCCGCATATAAGAGGACCAGTCTATCAGCCCCAGCTTGATTCCTTCTCAGGCCTGATTGCATGAATGTTACGCGAAATATGTTACACACGACCAGGGCGATGTGGCTGTGGAATAGCCAGCGTCGCTTGGATGGTAAGATGGTCATTCACACTGATCGCATTACTGACTCCGCACTCAACCATATTAAAGCTCGACGAGACAAAAATAAGATCCAAGTTGGTTGCCGAATTACATGTTAAGCGAGTTGAAGCATCAATTAATTGCCTAAGAGAAAACAGCGACGCGATATCGAGTAACAGTTTAGCGTTAGAGTCAATTTGACCAAGTATGTCGACATTAAAATCGCCCAAGCACGATCGGTTATACAAGGTGCGTCCCAAAATTTTCCCAACTTTTTCAATAGGGATAGGTCGGGTGGCGCCATCCGTGTGTTCGATTGCGCGTTTGAAAGGTACATCCCTAGCTGACTTCCAGTAAAAATTTCATGACATTTGGTTCAGTGGAAACGAAGTTATGGCGTCTCAAGTGTCAGATGTTGTATACATCGGTACGAGAATGAACTTCGAACAAAGAGCCAATATTAAGTTTTGTTTTAAACTTGGTAAAACATTTACCGAAACCCATAATTTGATGAAACAAGTTTATGGTGATAATTGTGTAGCCCGTGCCAGTGTTTATGAGTGGTATACGCGATTCAAGAACGGTCGTGAGGACATAAATGACGACGCACATACAGGTCGCCCAAAATCGACAATTAACGAAAATTCCATCGAAGTTTTTATGATTCCAAGGGTATTGTGCACAAAGAATTCGTTCCAGCAGGCCAAACAGTTAATGCTGTATTCTATGTAAGCGTTTTGAAGCGTTTGGTGCACCGCATTCGTCGTATTCGGCCAGAATATCGCGAAGGAGGAAGTTGGCGCTTGTTACACGATAATGCGCCATCTCACCGTTCGACACTTGTCACTGATTTTTTGACTAAAAATCACATTTTAACAATCAACCATTCCCCGTATTCGCCTGATATGGCACCTTGTGACTTCTACCTATTCGGCAAAATGCATTTGTCCATGAAAGGAAAGCGGTATGTGGACGTAGAAGACATCCAAAGGGCTTGTACCACTATTCTGAAGGACGTGCCTTTGAACGACATAAAACACTCATTTGAAATGCTTTTAGATCGTGCCAAACGTTGTACTGAGTCCGACTGCACAGGATAGACATGACTCTATAAAATGCAAGTCAGAAAGTGGTGTACCCGGAGGGCGATATATGCCGACGACCGCCACTCGCCGACCGCGAGAAAGATGGAGAGACAGAGCAACAATGTCAGTGAGAGTACCCACCAATGAGCGCCCAAGCCAATCGGGGAGAATTGAAGAGACTCATCGATATATAGCGCGACACTGTCCCCGCAGCGGCCTGTGGATCTATTCGAGCGAACAAGCACAAAGTTATCTATATCGATGGATTCAAAGTCGGTCGAATTCCGCAACCAAGTCTCCCTGACAGATAGAACATTCAAACGGTGGAAGGTGATAACGTCTCTGACCAACGCAATATGCGGAATGAGATGCGCAAGAAATACCCATTTCCGAATCCAAAAATTGAGGCGGATCTGCAGGCAGTCACTCAGGACCACCTCCTCCGGATGCAAGCGGCGGGGATAGGGGAGCGGGATGAAAGGGAGCGGACGAGGGAGAAATGGACTTGAGGACTGAAAGAAATGAAGCCGGGGAGGTATAACGAAACGAAGGCCATATATATTATCTTTGATGCGAAAATAAGTAATCCCCTTACTGATCCAAACTCGCCTAACACTATGCGCCGTCGCTAATCGACGAGCTTCAATAAAAGTGCGCCGCTCAGACGCTGTAGCCTGCTCGCAAATAGAGATCCAATCGGCTGGCCAGAAGCCGTAGACATCCGATGTATTCAGTCCCCTCTGACGAGCCCTGACGATTATTTCATTGCGCCTCGCTATCGTCATAAATTTAACAATAAGTAGAGACGAGGACGAATTCCTGCCAGGAATCCTGAAGGCCCGCGTAATCTCCGATAAAGACATTGAGATATCAAGGGAGAACTAAACTCTTGTAGTCTCAGTGCAATTCTCTGAAGGGACTCTTGGTAGACTGAATACGATGAGTTCATTGCTCAAAGAGAATATGTTCAAAACTAACAGACAGTCCACCCGGTAAGGTATGAGAACCATTAGCAGAAGTCGCAGAACCAGTACGCATCTCTCCTCCAACCTATCGAAGCGCTGCTTAAGGATGATTTGCCTTGCACCCATAACCAGATTGGCGGATAGGTCATCCGTCGCCGTCGCCAGTTGATTCGACGCACTCTCAACATCCCCAAGACGCTATAGCACTCCATCGAATTCCACCATCCTAGCGTTAAATGTCTCCAGAATGGGCTTGAGACGATCTAGAAGACTAAGTCCTGACTCAATACGCGCAATTGTATTCCAAAGAAAAGATGGATTTAGTTAGAGTAGACCAAGAGGACTTAACTGCAGAAAGAGCCGATAAGACATCAGAAGATATCTGGGAAGAATGACACCGCATTCTCATCAGATAGAGGTGAGAGAAAAGACGGCGAGACGCAACCAGCCAAGGAGGCAGCATCAGTCCCAAGCAGAGGCAACGACAGCCTACCTCCAGTTGCAACAGGATTGCAATCAGAGGGGCACAAATCATTGTCAGTGCCATAGAAAGTGTAAGGGCGCTTATACGAAATAAAGCGTTTACATTTGGTACACGTCGACTGACTCATGCTAAATTACACGAAATTAAACACAGTACAAGAGAATGTGTAGGATCGCATAACAAAAGCACGCAGCAATTTAACAAAATAATTATTTATATTCGGATTTGTCCTTTAAACAAAGGCAGAAACGAATGATAAATAAACAATAACGATATAATGGCTAAATTTGAACATAAAATTATGACGTCGCTACAGAAATTATTATGCAATGATAAAATATTACAAGAATGTAATAAAAAACACACAACTAATGCAGTACAAGCACACTAATAAAATAACAAAAACTCAGAAAGATTGCGTCACAGAAATACATTCTGCTCGTCGACCAGTATTCGCGAAAACGTTCAAAGTAAAAAATTAGAAGATAAAAAACTGAGGTGTTGTAATAAACACCAATGACTATAATAAAATGAAAAAAATGTGCAGCAAGCTAATAAGTAAAGACAGCACTTTTCACAAGAGAGAACGCAGAAATTGAACAAGAAAGCGAAATCAGAGAAGAACGACGAGCAGAGATGTTGACAGCACAAGTATCACACGAGTATTCAAATATACCGGGTGTCTCAGAGCACCCGTACGACCCTTTTAAAAGGTAGGGATGTGTTTGTACAAAAAAATGGTTCAGACAAAATTTGCAGGATTTCGGGAGATCTATCTGATGGTGACCTTGAATTTGACCTTGAGGTCGATCTTGGGCATAACTCAAGGTCAAGTACCGTTTTACAAATGTAAACCCTTATTCATGACATCACAAATGAAAATAGCGGAAAATTTTACGTCCGAATACGTTATCAAGCCTAGGTCAAAATTATTCTTAGAGGTTATGTGGAGGTCAAGTTACTTTTAGAGCACCCGTACCAACCTTCTAAAAGATATGGATGTGTTTGTACAAAAAATAGTTCAAACAATACTAGGTATTTACATAGCTATGATGCATCCATCTGCTGGTGAATTTGAATTCTACCTTTAGATTCATTTGTAGTCATGTACATCGATTTTTAAAGATCCCTAATTATCAAGATCTTGAACAGTCGATGCCGCCTGTGTCAGCGTTACCCAAGATGTACCACGTGGAGGTCACAAGGTCGGACTTACACCTCGTTGGGGTGCTTTTTTAAGGTGGTTCCCCTTGCCGTCACCTTTGTTCGTACGCATGTGTTCAGTCTAGATTTTCGAAGTGTCCTCCACGTGCATGTATGCAGGCTGTTATTCTTCGTTGAAAATCATCCGTCACCCGACGAATTTCGACAGGATCTAGAGACTGAATGGCTTCTCGAATTCTGTTCTTCATGTCTTCTGAAGTCGGAGGTCGTTCGCGGTATACGAGGTCTTTTATTCTTCCCCACAAATAAAAATCCAAAATTGTAAGATCCGGTGATCGTGGTGGCCAGTTATGTGGACCATATTTACCTATCCATTGGCCGCGAAATATGCGGTTCAGTTGTTGACGAGCAATGACAGACGTGTGGGCTGGACATCCATCCTGTTGAAACCACATATTTAGACGTAGTTGAAGTGGAAAAGTGGTAAAATTTTCCGCTATTTTCATTTGTGATGTCATGAATAAGGGTTTACATTTGTAAAACGGTACTTTGACCTTGAGTTATGCCCAAGGTCGACCTCAAGGTCAAATTCAAGGTCACCATCAGATAGATCTCCCGAAATCCTGCAAATTTTGTCTGAACCATTTTTTTGTACAAACACATCCCTACCTTTTAAAAGGGTGGTACGGGTGCTCTGAGACACCCGGTATATATCATATGTACAGAGTATCATATATACAGGGTGTCCAAAGAGAATTCTTCAATCACCCACAGAAAGATAGATAGGATCGAAATAAACATAAAAGTCCCTTATCGTTTAGCGATATTCGTAATAATAATCGAGATATTAATGTTTGCAATTGTACTAATGAGAGCGCGCCGATAGAAATGTTCCGCTCGAGGTACAGCTCGGCCCACTTTTTTAAACATAGACTGCACTGGCAACGCGTTGGAGAGATAAGAGGGGAAGCGCGCCATTGCTTAGCGCTTAGCATTACCGCTCACACGTTTCATCGCACCGCATCAAAGGACTCGCGATGACCGCTACGCGATTACATATGTAATAATACTGCAAAAATAGGACAAATATAAATCATAATAAACTTCGATGAATAAAAATGTCGAAAGAGAAAAAGTGATTAAACCTATGGAAATCTACGGAAAATCTAATTAATTTCTATCGTAATTTGTCGTTTCTCTAAATCTCGAAATGAAAAAATTTTAAGAAAAAAGTATCTGAAAGAAATAATATCATTTTCCACCATTCTCTATTGTTTCCTGTTAGAAGAATATTTCATCGGAATATAATAAAATATCAATAAAGATGTAATCTGCCATAATTAATAGTGTATTTACGATAGTAGAAATTTTAAGCTCATTATCGCATAATTACCAAAAAAGCTCTTTGTTTTTAATCGTATCAATGATATTTGACATAGCATTGTACTTTCGAGGTATAATTAATTATCCTAGGCAGTTCATCGTAATCTATTATAAAATCGGAGAATAGTACATGTTTTTTTATCGTATTATTACAAAAAGCGTTGCGTATTATGCATAATAAATATTTCATGTATATCATAAGATACTTATGAAAGGAAAACGTATAAAGATTAATCGTGAATATTAATTATAACATTTTCACGTTTCGTGGAAAAGGAAACGATAAAAGAATTTGATATTACCAATACACTACACAAAAAAATTGAAGGATCACTTAGTAGTCCTCCAAAAATAGGTAATGTTCAAGAGAGTGTAACTTCGTCAAAAATAATCATAACAAGATTTTTAAAAATGTATTTTAAAGCTTCAAGTCTCTACTTTTGAGGCCGATTAATTGATATTTCGATCTAATTAATTCTTCACAAAGTTATAGGGATTATAAATGGATAGCTTTCAAATCTCTAAAAATTTTGTACGTATTTTACAAAGTTTCACGACCTGAATTAAAAATCGCAAACAAATTCTGTTTAGCGTTTGAAAGAGTGAATCTTTACCTTTAATTTGTCTTTTCGTTAAGCATTATATAATATTTTTTTATCGAGTTATTTAACATTAAAGCGAAAACGAATCCTTTCACTTCAATGTTAAATAACTCGGTAAAAAAAAGACTATCCACAGAGAAGCAAATTTAATTTAGGTCATGGAACTTTGTAAAGTTTGTAGAAAATTTTTTTATTTGACGGCTTTCCATGTATATCCCTATAACTTTGTAAAAAGTCAATCAGAGAGATCGAAATATTAATTACTTATCTCAAAAGTAGAGACTTCAAACTTTATAATGCTTCAAAAATCTCGTTACGATTATTATACTCTCTTGAATATTATTTATTTTTGGAGAACAAACTGAGTAATGTGTTATAATATACTTTTAGAGGCAAACAATGGAGATCAATCGCGAATTTGATGATACGATAAGAAAAAAAAATTAGAATTGTGGATTCTATTATTAGTAATTCATTTTGTTTTATGCATTAATTTTGTAAATTTACAGGTTATGTTATTTTTACATCTACTTTTGATGTACATTTATTAAATTTTGTTATGCAGATAGGAAATTGTTTCTATATCATCTTGAGGTAGATGGCGTGTTTTTTTTAAGTGGTTTTCCCCAGTAGGCTTAATCCATTCTGTCCTTACACTTCTAATGTAACAACTGCTCGAAGTGCTTTTCTTGCATTTGCAAGTAAAGTTCGACTCTCCGAGAAATTTGCCGCGTTGCACGGTGCACCATATCCGGAGTGATGGTTTGAAAGGCCGCTATGATTTCATTACGTACCTCATTCTGGATCATCATCACGTTTGTGAGCTATCTCGATTGCAGCTTTGACATAATCCCAGACGAAGTAATCGAGCACATTCAAACCTGGTGAGCGTGCCGGCCAAACGATCGGACCACTCCGACCAATTCATCTGTCTGGAAAACATTCATCCAATTTCCCGTACTCTGCGAGAGAATAATGTACGGGAGCTCCATCGTGCTGAAAAATCAGCGTAAAAATTTCCCGCTCTCGGAAAGGAACGTCATCCAAGAGAATCGGTAACTAATTTTCAATGAAATCAGCGTATGTTCTATGTATTGAGGTGTGTCGGAAATAAGTATGGCCCAATCTGAAAATCACCCATCGAAACGTTATGGAAACAAGGTAGTAGAAAAAATTTCTTAATTTATAAGAATTTTTACCACTTTGTTAACAAATACTCCTGTCCACACATTGATCGACCATCAATACTGAAAGACGCATTATCGAATAGCGGATCTCTTCTTGTCAGAGCAAGAAATTATAAGAATTGAGCACGCCGTTCAACGTAAATGTGGCCTCGTCCATCCATAAAATACTATCGGAAAATGAAGCATTTCACATTGTGCGAGGAATCCTACGCAAGTTTTATTAATGATTATAAATTTATTATTGATTACTATATATTAAAAGTGCTATAAATATGAAAGAAAAACTGGAATAAAAAAATAAAAATACCTGCACAAAAATTAATACGCTGTATCTCATCCTGTGCTAAAAGTTGTTGCACACGTTGAAAATTGAACGGATGCAATCCATTTTTCTTTAAAACACGGTATATTGTGGTTCGCAATACACCAGGTGTACGACTTATACGGCAATACACTTTTGAGGATTTTCAATCATTTACATAATTCGCTCGTCATTTAACGCGACGACGCAGTGCCCTTTCACAGTTTTGATGCACTGCGAGATTTCCTGTTTGTATCGCGCGTTGGAAACAATCCGATATTGTGCGTCTTGATAGGTAATGATGATTCGGAAATTGTTCCGCATATAGACGCTCCGCGGTGTGAGCATTTCCTCTAGCCATCTCGTAAAAATAAATCATTACGTATACTCTTTTGTTGTATAATTCATTTTAAGCGCAACTAACACATAACTAACTTGATAAGAGATCGTGCAATAGAGGAAAAACATTTGAAAAAATCGAGAAAGGAGTTCAACTTGTATTGAGTGTATAATATCTTTTATCGCATTGCGTAATTCAATTTCTTTATCATTTACAGGTGTTTTCGGAATTTTTGAAATTTGAAAAAAAAATTAACATATTGAGAATATTTGTAGAATTCACTTGTACCATTTTAATGATTTGCGCTGTTTGACTTTAACTTTGCACTTGAATTATTTGTTATTCTTGCTAACTATGCTTTATACTGAAATTTTTTGCAAGATCTTTGTGATTTATCTAATAATAAAACGGCGCTACTGTCACGTTAAATAATAATATTAATCAAGCACGTACATCATATGTGATATAAAAATGACGCTACCGTTCTGTTAATTATTAGGTGCGCAACTAAGTTCTCGCTGTTATTTTGATGAAAATGCAACTTTATTGTGAAAAAATGGTTACAAATGAATCATTGAAAGTATTGCCCGCTACTATCGCTAGCTACTACTTTTTCCCATCTTTTTGGAGAGCTCGTATACCATCACGATAAAACTGTTCATTTACTGTTGGAGCCATCTGTTGACAAACAGCGGGAACTTAGTTGCGCACCTTTATTTATATCAATCAAGCACTATATCATGTGATAAGTATGAGAGAGCAATAAGTATATCAGATGATGATAGTGTTTCTGTGTGCTTTTCACTAGAGTTTGATATGAATCTTTCATATTTGCAATTTGTTACATCATAAGATCAAATATAATGCAAATCTCTCTTTTCTCCACTCTTTCTCGGATCGATAATCAATAGATAAGATTTTTTTGTATACTTCTGATCGACAATATTTTTAACCGAGATTCTTTTTCATATTTGATTTATCACAAATAAATCATGTACACCTCCTAAATAAATCACATACATTTTTACAATAAGCGTCGCTCCTTAGCATTAGTCATTTCGTCAACGACATTCGTATTGTGTAAACATAAAATATTCTTCAATTCCTCTTATATTTTGCGATCGAGAATTTGGTATTCAAAATGTTTTAACCAGTGACAGTGTGTACAATAAACATGGCATTAAACAGAGTGACGAAATTACATATTACCGCAACCATGTTAACGATTTCCTCGTGGATGGATTGAACTATTGGGAGTACAAATAAGTTTTCGCCGTTTTTTATCAAAAATTAAGCATTTATTGTGAAAGAACGATACATAATGTTTTATTGAAAGTATTGTCGATCACTTTTTCCCATCTTTCTGGTAGCATACGGATATCGCGTTGGAAGAACGCTTCATCTTTTAAGGCTATTCAATTATCGATCCAATTTTTGGTATCTTCATATGATGTGAAGTGCTGTTCAGACAGGCCATGCGTCATCGATCGAAATAGATGGTAATCGGAAGGGGCAATGTCTGGTGAATACGGCGGGTGGAATAGAACTTCCCAATTGAGTGTTTCCATGTAGGTTTTGACCGGCGCCGCAACATGTGGTCGATCATTATCATGCAGGAGAATAATTTTGTCATGCCTGGAGTAGTAATGGGCGCGTTTTTTCTTGAGTGTTCGGCTCAATCTCATCAATTGTGTTCGGTAGAAAGCCTCAGTAACGGTTTCGTTCGGTTTGAGCAACTCATAATACACGACACCAAGCTGATCCCACCAAATACACAACATGAGTTTTTTTTCATGAATATTCGGTTTGGCTATCGATGTTGAAGCATGGCCAGGTGATCCTCATGATTTCCTCTTCTTTGGATTATCGTAGTGAATCCATTTTTCACCAGTGACTATACGATGCAAAAAACCCTTTCGTTTATGCCTGATAAGCAGCATTTCACATATGGAAAATCGGCGTTTAACGTTTCTCAACTTCAGTTCATATAAAACCCAATTCCCTTACTTTTGAATCATTCCCAATGATTTCAAACGATATGAAATTGCTTGTTGAGTCGCTCCTAATGTAAGTGCAAGTTCTTTTTGCGTTTGGCACGAACTTCATCCAATAATGCTTCTAATTCCGCGTCTTCGTATACTTTCGGCCTTCCGCTACATTCTTTGTCTTCGACGTCAAATTCATCATTCTTAAACTTTTGAAACCACTCACGACAACTTCTCTCACTTAAGGCCTTACCATATGCTTCTACAAGCAATTGATGAGCCTCAGCTGCAGATTTCTTCAAATTAAAGAAGTAAATCAAAAGTTCTCGCAAATGACGCTTATTCGGCTCAAAATTCGGCATTTTCGCACAAAAAAAATATATGATGCTGATACAAAATCGCTAGTATTTCAAGGTTATGTTGTTGACAGATGTCCAACCTTACGATATAACGTTTTTCAGACAATTTTAACCATAGCTTGCTAGTGGCATCGTCTTTTGTCAAACGGCGGAAATTTATTTGTACTCCCAATACTATCAGATTTGCGTTAGACTACATTTGCGTAATGCAGGATATATTAATATTGATGATTAATCTTAAATGCTTGAAAGCCGAGGACAGAAAAAATGACTAACCACGATGTTAATTTGTTTTATTTCAAATATTACTCTTTTGAGGAGGAAGACGAGAGAAAATGAGGAGAAGAATGTTGTATATTTTTCAATTTAACGATATTTTGGTAAGCATTTTTTAAATATTACTCGCGCAAATATATTTTTATGTTATAATAATAATATACCTTTTCAAACACATTTTTTAAATGACATGTCCCAAAATATTCCAGGAAGGAAGGCATTTGGAATAATTCGTGCATAAAAAAATGAGAGTGGAATAGGCTTGGGGAAATCAGTATAAAAAAAGCGCACCATACTAACTATTTCATAATAGGTGCGGAAATGATAATATCATTTTCTTGTGACAGAAATCTACTTACAAGTAGAGCTTTATAATAAAATTACTTCTATCATAAATATTTTTTAAAATAATTTTTTTTAAAGTTCTGAAAGTTGTTACCAATATAGAATTTGAAGGACCTCATGTATGAAAAGATTTTCAGCTTTCCTCATTATATTGAAAATTATTCAATTATATAAAAAAATGTTTTATACAAAAGTTTTACAATAAAATTACCTCTATTTTTTTACGCTAATGATATTTTTTGGAATAATTATTTAACCATTTTTTTCAAAAATTTTGAAAAATAATTTTTTTTTTAAATTGACACGAATGAATACACAGCTAATTTTATTGTAAAACTTTTGTATAAAACATTTTTTGATATTTCGAATAGTTTTCGAGATATAACGAAAAATGTTAAAAACCGCTTCACATATGAGGCTCTTCAAACTCTACATTGGCAACAACTTTCAGAACTTTTTTAAAAAATGATTATTTTAAAAAATATTTATATAGAAGTAATTTTAATATAAAATTACTTGTAAGTAGATTTCTGTCACAAAATGATAAAATATCATTTCTATACTATCATGAGGTAGATAGTATGGTGCGCTTTTTTTATAGTGGTTTCTTCACGTAAAGAGTGATTTTATCCCTTCAAACAGTTTTTCTGCCCCAACTGATATTTTCTAAATTTATCTTTTTATGTGAGTTACAAGTTCACTAAGTTTCATTAAAATCAGAATTTGTCTCGCGAGGTTTCCTTATAAGTATACCAGAATCTCACTTTCTCCCATTTCCCTATTTGCATATGACAAAGAATAGAAAATTTTTTTGCTTCAAAAAATACTTTTTAAATACTTTTTATATTATGTTTTTAAATTAATTTTTTCGCTAATTGGGGTTGCATAACGTTTGCATAAGCGCAAATAGTGTTAATCAATTTAAAGTGATCAAAAACTGGGCACGTATTACTGAAAGAATGCTCCTTTTGACAATTTTTACATATCATTGATTGTGAATTGCATTCAACTTCTGTGGTTTTCTCCACATTTTGGACACGTTAATCTCCTTTTACAAACTCTATCGTTATGTAGCTTGAACAAATCTGACATTTTCTCACATTATTTATAAAGGGCAAAACTTTAGTTTTGACCTTCTATATATATATCACCTCCGGGAGATACCTAGAATTAAATACAATCTTTATGGGCTTTGAATCTTCAAGTTTTTTGGTTATTTTTGATTTTAAATTTAAGTCTCTGAATGTTTTACACTTCATAAGTGTTATTTTCCCATGTAATATCTTTTATAATATTATTAATTGATAGACTTTAGTCAATTCCTAATAACCCCCAAACGGTATAGTTTATAATTGGGAATATATATGATCCAATTTTTAGAGAATCTTTCTTTGTTAGTTAAAAAGGTATTCTTGATATGTTTTGAAAGTTATGCCTATATCATTAAAATTTGTTTTGCTTATTTTTAATATGTCCCCAAACTTCTTGTCCTTCAATTTAGAAAATATCAATTTACCGATAGTCATAGAGTGAAGATTGCTTATGTGTTGAATCTCTCCTATCTCATCCTTCACTGATTCAATTATTATTAGAAACGAGGGAGCAGATCTTTCGTTATATCAATTATTTAGTTGAGAGTGTAGATATTCCTTTCTAGTAACTAAAGCCCTTTGTCCCTATTATCCTCTTTTTCTAAAGGTGAGATTGGCAGATTTATATTAGGATTCATGTAGATTTTATATTCATAATATCATTCAAATCTGGATCCGATATTAAAGTACAAGATCTCTCATTTGTTCTCGGTTTCTTAGGTAAAGGAGAAGTAAAACTCTCATTTTTATTATCTTCATCTTCCGAACTTCTATTGTCTTGTTTGTTCTTCCCTACAGAGAAAAAAATTTTTTTTTTCATACTCTAATTGATTTTTTTTAAAGATAGATTATAGCCGTAAAGCAAAGAAAGCCTAATATTAGGACAATACTTATAATTTTTTATACTCATAATTTTATTTCTACTTCAGCTTACTTACGATTAATAATACAAACTTTTAGTAAATTAAAAAATTGTATGTTCTTAGTTTTGGAATTATTATATTATATTTATTTTTTATTTATTTATTTTTTTTTATAATTGTTATACCTTTTTTAAATGGACGGAATTAATACTTCTAGATTAATATATATGTTTAATTAAATTTCTCTCTCTCACTCTAAGTTTCTTTATTTAATAGATGATACTATCTATTTCCGTGAAGAATGTGATGAATTCGCGACAATAATATTGTTATTGTATTAAACTCTTCAGAAGCCAATAACAAGGTCACGAGAATATCAACTTAATATTATCTCGTTTTCAACCAACACAAAGTGAAATATTATAAGGTTTCCTTTTATCTCCCGCTTACAAAGTTATAGTTCTAATTATGATTAATAATATAAAACAACTTAACATTCATTTAATGTTGGATAAATTTCTCCAGAATTACTTATATATTTTATTATAATTGTTATATTTTATTTTATATTTTCTTTTCTCTTCTCTTTTTTTTTAAACAGCACATATTAACTACTTATAAAAGTGAATAATACCTCGAGAATTTATATTTTAATAAAGAAATTATAAGAAGATAAAAAAATGGTACAGATAAAAAATGGTAAATATATCACCTTATATCACAAAAATTAACATATGGATCTTCTCTTTCGAAAGGAATGTTCATCAGTAATAAATATTCATGAAACTGTCACAAAATACATAAACTCTTCAAGGACGTAATCACCACTGTATATTACACACAAAGATTATTTGGATAATTCATATATACAGTGAGTGCAAAAAGTATTCATACAGAGAAAGTATTTTTTTAAAAAACTTTATTTTTAAAAAGTAAATATTATCCAGCGAAAAATGAGTGATCAAATTGATGTCGAATCGATATTGATACGATGATTTCAACATCAATTCGACATCGATTCGTTTAATTGATCATTTCTTGCTGGGTAATTAACAATTTAGTCATAAAGAATAAAATAGATTGAATAGAATTGTATGTTTCTTAAAATTATATACACCAAAAAGATGTGTATTAATTATAGAAAATATATCATCTGAAAAATAAGCGAAAATTACGAATTCTATTGTTTGAATGCTTAAAAAGTATTCGTACAATTAAGAAAATTTAGCTTCTAAAATCAGAAATACGTGCGAAGCTCATTTGTTTATGTTAGAACAGATTATATTCATTGTATAAAATTGCTAATTAATGTTTATTTTTTACAAATAAGATTTTTTATAAAAAATTTTCTTGAAAATTTTTTGTTCTCTGTATGTAGAAATATCTTATATTTCATATGAATTTACACAAGACTCTCATATTTAATATATTGGAAGAAAATGGATATGTCTTTGCAGACATAAATTCTGTTCAAAAAAAGACGAATTTGACTATGCATATGTTTTAACCTCAAGATATGATACTTTGGTACCACAAAGTATAGTTCAAAGCTATGTGATTATAAAAAAAAATTACATTTTTGACCTTCCCCTACTTGAAGAGATCGTAATATTTCTTCTATAATTTTTGCTCATATAATTTTTTCTAAATTCAACTATACATAGTCTCAAATCATATAAATTATACCAACCTTAGATTTAAAGAAAGGGACAAAATTTTTAAGCATTAAAACAACATCTTTTACTCAAAGAACACCCGGATCTTATTCATCGACTTTCTTTTCTGAATCAATATTCTGGTATCCCACAAGACTTTCTTTCCGTGGTTCAGTTTAATATGCAGTACACTGGCAGTTTTTTTTTGGACAACCTTGATCTTGTTTTCCTCGTTCAGCAATACGGGTTTTATTTGATAACACAGGCCCACAAAAAAAAATACCCTGTGCTGGGGTGGAGACCTAGCTATTCTTATGTATTTTGATTCGTATTCAGCGACGCAAAATACATAAGAGAGAATCGCTAAGTCTCTACTCCAGCACAGGATAATTTTTTTGAGGGTCTCAATGTAATTATTAACACCACCATCTAACTATAACGTTTTCAATATGATTTGTTTCGTCCAACTGTTACATGAACTGACAAAACTCAAGGCATTTTTCATTCTCTCTTTAACAGAAAAAGGTGATGGGATGCAACTGCAAATCACTTTCTTCTGTTGGAGAGAAAAAAATGAAGAACGCCATTGTTCCCTCTTTCTTACATGCTAGTCGGTAAAATCTTTTGTTGATTCGGTATGCTTAAGCGGGGAACATAGACTTTTGCATAATGCATAAAACACGAGGCATAAGAAAAAAAAAGTTTATCTTATCTGTACTATCTCTATGACAGCATATGACTTTTTAATTTTTTAGGGCTATCGCAGACAAAATTTTTGCAAGAGCTACCACAGACAAAATTTCGTAACAGTAAGGGCATATTCACACATACTTGCATAATCGCATAAACGTGTTCATGAAAAAAATTATCCAATCGTATTTCTCTTATGCAAGTTTGTGTGGATATATCCTAAGGGTCACCATACAAAATGAAATAAACTGCATAAACATAGTATAAAATCGCTGGACTAATGATAATCCGATAAAAAGACGCTATATTGATTTGTATAAGATGATCATTGGTCCAGCGTGCTATGCTTATGCAACTTATGTAACTTTGTGTATAATGGCTACGTAAGACGTAAACTTGAGCCGATAAGCCAATCAGGATATTACTTTAGATTTACGTAATCTAGTAGAAATAGAAATAACAGTAAATTTATCCATAAAGCAAATTCCAACTGGTTGGAAAGAATCCCGCATAAAATCATAGGATTTTGGCCCTCGGTGAAATAAGTTAAAGCATTAGTATCTTATAGTTCTTGGCTCACAGATCAAAAGTATCCATAAAACTGGTTTTACATTAATCGCAAGCCGATCGCAAGTTTTTACATTTTGAAATCAACGCTCCATATTGTCGCAACAAACTTGCGATTGGCTTGCAACTAATGTAGAACCGGCTTAAGGGGAACGTCCCATTTGACCACCATCCCAATTGACCATGTTGCGATTGATCATGTGTTGCAAATGACCATGTTGCGATGATCACGAGTTGCAGCGTGAAAACGCTAGCTACAATTGAGCGGCTACCTCCAACTGTGATACGTTTCCACTCTAAAGAAGCCGTCGCCAAAACGCCAGCTGCTAAAGTCCCACTACCTTTTCATGCAGGGACAAATCGCTAGCCGCTAGATCAATATAATCGTTAATATAAAATTTTTTTTATACATTTAATTCCTGTTTGAAACTGATAATTAAGAATGAGTTTCAAAGTGCGTTTAAACTATTCAAATAGTATTTTGTCAGCAACATTATGAAATAGATTGCTATCGGTAATAATTAAAAAGGTTAGTTTCGTCCGATTCTATAGTCTGCGTCATCTACTAACTACTTTCTGAATTTTAAGCGGCTAAACGACGGCTTGTAGGGAATTATGCAGAATGGGGAGAGCCGCTAGAGTTTTGACGCTGTGTGAATTTGCACTTTTACGGATAAGTTTACTGCTATTTCTATGTCTGTCAGATTACGTAGATCTAAAGCATTGATCTAAATCAATGACCTAAGCAGGTTGTTATGGAATTTTGTTTCCAGTAACACTTAAGCTTACGGCACATACAAAAACAAACTGTAAGGCAGTAACACGTAAGCAAATTAGCCAATCACAGTAGAGACCGTAATACTTACAATAAATCTAATATTATGATTTCCTTATTACTTACGTTTTATTAATAACCATAAGACGTAAACTTAAGCCGATTATGAGTCAATCAGGATATTGCTTTAGATCTATGTAATTTAACGAAAACAGAAATAGCAGTAAATTGATTCGTAAGACAAATTTTAATCGAAATTTTAACAAATTTTAATTGAAATTTGCTTTATTACGGATAAGATTACTGCTATTATAATTATGTATTAATATTATGTTAGTTTTTTCATTTTGTTAGTTTTGTGTTTGCTGGCATTGAGTGATACTATATATGTAAATAATGTTAAGTTTAAAAAATGTTTATAAACACTAATAAAAACCACTTTAAATTACAGGAGCGATTAATTCGTCCAAAAACGGCTATAAATATGAAGAATCAGTGGATGTACATTGTTCAGGCAGGCGAAAATTTCTTTCAAAGTATACGCATCGAAGCTTGTAGGTAAGTACAGAAAAAAGCTATAAATTAGAATGTCACAATCTTTTAATTTTATAAATAATATGAATAAAAAAATTACAGGATATATATAATATATATAGATCATAAGACGAGAGTCAAATAGAATGTTACGAGAAATATTCTTAATGTATTTTCAGAGAACTAGATGGTAAGTGCAGAATGATCGACGATTTTGCTGAAGGATACGTCACGATGTGCAAACAAAAGTATATTTATCGCGAGCTATCAGCCATTTCTGAAGGTGGCGAGATCGTTCGCGATTACTTCCGACTTCCTGCGAGCTGCTGTTGCCATGTTCAGTTCCAAGCCATTGAAGAAAAAGCGAGAATAAGATCGATTTCATAAGATATCTTCAGCCTTTACTTATACTAATTGAAAAATGTATAAGAATATATTTAAGAAAATATTTAAGCACATTTAAATGTTTTTAAGCGGTATTATTTGCATGGAAATAAATAGTTGGCCACCAGATTTTTTCGACGTGTGTACCCGAAAAAAATAATAGTTTTCGTTCGTACTAAGATCCTTGCAAGACGTTATACGCTGAATAAGATATTTTGATGATCTAAAAAAATGAAAATTAAAAAATGTAATAATCAAGATATAATTGTTTTATACTTAATTTAAAACATTTTTAACGCAAATATTATGACAATATTATTCTGTTCACCTTCATAAACGAATCGTTGCACAAAGTAATCATGTATCCACTAGTTATCTTAATTGGTCTCTTAGATCGAGTAATTATTAATAAAAGAATCTTCATTAAATCAATAGGAAGCATCGGCCATTCCATCTCATAAATAGCATTTCCGATTTCAGTGCTCTACGTATTTAAGAATAAACTGATTAAAAGAAAGTTTACTAAATCGGCTTCAAATAAATTAAATATTCTTTGAAGAAAATAAGATTTTGGAAGTTAAAAAATTTTTTAATGACCAACCTTCAATGTTACTTCGTTACCGAACCAGCAGTACAAATAAATTTGCATAAGCATACAACCAAGATACGACGAGCTCCATGCAAATTCAAGGCTCAGCAAATTCTTTGTCAACATTTTGTAGATGCTAAGACAGAGCACTGTCGAGCTTATGGTGAATTGCACGAAAATCATTAGTGTGAATACCGCATTGATGCGTTCAGCAAATCTATACAATTATGATTATTTCCTTTATATATATATATATATATATATATACACACGCAGAGGGTAATTAAAATAAGATAACAAATTTCGGGACCGTATAGTCCCTACACCAAGCATGAAGAAAAAGTTATGTAGGATATGTAACACAGACTTCTATAACTAGATTGCTAACTTAATATGATAGAAAGAAATAAACCTAATTTCGAGCTGTTATTGTTTCAGTTCACATATGAGTAAGTGCGTTCTGTCTGTGAATATCGCCTGAATTTGTGTGAAAAAAATTATAATAACATTGTTATCTTTGTGATTTGTACATGGGAGAGTGAACACAAAATATGGCACTGCCCAGTGTTGTCTTCAAACATGGAGGCGAAGTAGGCAGTCTATTTATAGAAGTCTGTGATATGTATGTACGTTCGCAAATCTACTTACTGAAATATATAGCTCACGATCAGTTGCATGATCCCCACGATATTCCCCGATCTAAATCCTTCAAATTTTTATCTGTACAGATATAATAAAGTTCTTAATAAAGTTTACGAAGTTCCAATCGCTAATAAAGATATGTTATGCCAACACATCTTTAATGCATCTTTAATCTTATGACATCATTCGCAATTGCTCTGGGATCTTTGAAAAAGTCCATGATCCGACATATCGAAACGTATATTAAATCAAAGAGACACATTTGGAACATTTGTTATAATTAAAAATTGAAAATAAATAATGTTAAATAATTATATTTATGTATATTATTTTTTTATTTTTCTCTACTAAGCATTTTAGGTGTATATCAGTAACAGTGAATCGAATACATGTTTATATGAATTCTTTTTCATGTATTGACGTGGGGAGCTTGATCCCGAATGTTTGTTACCTTATTTTAATTACATCCTATATGTCTCCACACACACGCACGCACGCACGCACGCACGCACATGTATTGTATACACTCATACGCGAGTAACAAATAACAGTATACATTATGTATTAATTGAATAAACATATTACACGCGGATATCCAGTGTTCGGCTCTCATAGATATTATCGTTCTTTGATTTATTCTTTGAAGCTCGTCTATTCCTTCTATTGTATTCTATATTAACTGTTACGCTTACACATTGTTGCATATTCAAGTTTCATTGATCTTATCTATCAATTTATTTCATGTTCCTTACAATTATATTGATCACATTGCACTATAACCTTTTCTGTTCTTGTTTTGACCAATCACATTTGATTTTACTAAAAGTTACCAAAAAAGAAGTATCGCTCTCTGTTCAGTTTTGTTTATGCTCTATGTGTACTAGTTTCTGTCTTATTTGCTTGCAATGTCTCCCTCTTTTTGTATCGAAAGGAACGTATGTACGAAAAATAATCGTTCTTATAAGTTAATTACTGACTGCTTTCCGATTTCCTTTTTACACTGTATCAGATCATAACTGATCAAAGTTTCACTAAGCGTAACACACATTATATTATTTATTTATTATGTACGAACATATAAGTATTTTCCATACAGCATCGAAAGTTTTCAAAAATATTTGAGAATCATTTGAACTCAAAAGTGAAACATTTCATAAAAATTGTGGAATATGTTTGCAACATTTTTGAGACAGCTTTAGAATAGCAAAATATCCGCGATTCTTGCACATCAAACCTTGTTGAAAAGTTAATGAAATGTTATAGAAAGAATCTGCAATTTTTTTCTTTTTTTTTAAATATATAGGCGGATCAGCCCGCATGCTGGATGCTCCTGGCTGCAGGCTGGCTTATGCCACAAAAGGAAGAGTCCCCAACAGCTTCGGTTCATTGCATTGGGGATTCTCTCTGAAGGGATAAGAAGGGATGCGGATTCTGTTCGTAGGAAAGGGCGAGGAGTCGCACGGATTCCATAGTAGGATCCTCGTCCCTCCTGGAGGGGGAGCCGCGTGGCCGCTCGAACGTATTCCGAGGTAAGACATGTGACCCCTGTCTCCGGACTGCTTGGACATATTCCGAGATTGGGCCCGGGAGTGGGACATAGTAATCCAGCACGTTTGCAGCGTCCCTTCCGAAGCAGGCGCGCTGGATAGGCGGTTGTCCACCATGGGACATAGACCTCCCCATGGTGGACGCCGGTGAGGATCTGGAAGGGACGCTACTTCCATGACCCAATCGTTGGGTGGCGTCATCCGCGTTGGGTGCCTTCTTAGTCGGAGGAGAGGAACCCTTGAAAATGAGAGGAGCTTGTCCCGCCCATGAGTAAGGGGCTCGGAGGCCCGTGCTCCTGATACACAATACTGGGTGCCAGAGTCATATGTCAACCCCTCAGGGGAACTCGGGACTCCGTCCGGGTCATGTTTTCGGACGAGTGAGGCTAACCCTGGCTGACGGAGCTGCCGCGGAGTTCGGAACTAATCTAGAAATGTCAGACATCAAAAACAAGGAGATAGATAACGAAATGGAGGAGGTGAAGACATCCGATTTAAGCATGGACGACTTTTTCGAATTATTCTTCTTACAGAAAGACTTTGCAGGAGACCTGGCCCTAGGACTGGGAATGATCCCTGTAGAGGAGACTTTGTCTCTTCGCTGCAGAGTTGAAAAAAATCCAGGTTTTTTTTTAAAAAACTCAACCTACTGGATTTTATAAGAGTTTTATTGGAGATTTTTTGGATTTTTTAGGGGTTTTTTTAAATATCCCTAAAAAATATCAAATAAAACTCCTATAAAATATCAAATATCAAATTAAATAATGATAAATACAATGTAAACTAAATATTACGTGAAAAAATATCAAATAAATAAGATTATTTGATATTTTTTCACATAATATTTAGTTTACATTGTATTTATCATTATTTAATTACATATTCAAATAAACTTAATTATAAATAAATTTGGTAAAAATATTATACTGATAAATTTTTCAAATATAAAAAAAACACTTCTATATAATGAAAACTCAACAAATAGAAAATAAGAAATGTAATGGTTGAAGCTGGATCTTTTAATGCTTAAATAATTCAATATGAATTTGTGTGTATATATTATACAATATATACATGCATATATATCATATCATTGTAATCATTTGAACTGCACGCCAAAATTTTATCGGACTTAAAACACAGCTAAACTACCGAAATAAATATCACAATTGAATTTTAATGCTCAATAAGCATCTATTAAGCTCTTAATATGCTGGAAATCAATAAATAAATTTATTTATTGTGAAAAATATTATCTCGGCTAGGAGTTGTACCTGGATTCTAACATCCCGTGCGAGATTCTAAATTTTTAGACTACTGAGGTTTCTATAGAAGATAAAGAAAGAAATAATGATACTACGTATTAAAACTATATTAATTAAAAACTATATTATTTATTTAGATAATTTAATATTTAAAATTAATCCTTAAACTTTTTGTTTAAAAAAATTTTTAAACAAAAAAACAAAAATATTTTTAAATAAAAAAACAAAAAATGTTTAAACAAAAAAACAACCTTTTTTTAAATATTTGATTAATTATGTTTTTCACCATTCGGGTTTATCTTCTCGAAGATATCTGTATATTTGTATTAGTTTCGTCGCTTTTCTTGTTCCAAGCTTATTCCGAATAGGTGTTTAAACTAATCCACAAGTTGAAAAAATCCTTTCGAGTCCCGCGCTGTTTGATGGGCACGAATGAAGTTTTTTAAAGAAGTCGCAAAATTCCATAGGTAAATTATTCTTTTTCATAGTTTTTAAGTCCATTAATTGTCACCATTTTGCTGAAAAAAATTTTGCAATTACATCTTCTAAAAATATGTTTGGTGGAAAATATTCCTTATCTTGGAGTTAGAAGTACAGTAGAAACGGATAATATTCTGGCTAATTTTTCTTTAATCAGTCTTCTGCTTGTGATTCTTGGTCAGAATTTAATCATTTCTCTCTGAACACTGGATCCGTTATGTTGGCGAGGAAATTAAATGGCTTTATCACCTCTTGAAATCGATTATTAATGTCATTACGATAATTTGAAAGTTCCGAAGATTCCATCAAGTTCATCCAAATTTCTACAGCTTTTGCAGTTGACATGGTATCACTTTGTAATGAATCCAAGGAATTTCCAACAATTATATCAGTTGATTTAGCAAATTTTTAACCTCTACATATAAACCTTTATTTGATGTTGAAAATGTTACTGATTCCTGCTCCATACGAATTTCATTATATTTGTGGAAATTTTCTACGAATGTATGAACACATTTTTTTGAGAATTCTACCGTGTGTCATTTGGTATTTACATTTGTAGCATCATGCCATTTTTATTGATCAACCAACTATGAGATTGATGATTTCTGAAATATTTCTGCACTTCCACATGTTTCATAATGTATTTATGTATGTTTTATAATATTTTTCAGAGTGACGACCGATTTCTATAGATTTAAAAAAATGAGCAGAGCAGTTATATGTTAAAATATGCGGATAATCATTTTCCATTAATTTGCCTTTATTTTATTCTCATTGTCCGAACAAATGGCAAATACGTCAACCTTATATTTTTCTTTTATTTCCTTAATCGCAATGTGTGCCAATTCACGGCATGTTTCCGTTGTTTTTTTCTCTGATCCACAATTCACGACATTAAACAAATAAGATTGCGTATCAGTACATACTGTGTGCAATTATAGGATCATTTCGGACGCTGGACTAGCCACCTAGCAGGAGAGTTATGCAAGTTACATTTGCATTTTTTAAATCGTTGACAATTTTATCAATTTCTTCGGCAATCGATAAGATTGCCAGAAAAGGCCCTGCATGTTGTTTCCGATTCGGCGATTTATATCCAGGTCGCAAATTTTAGAACATTTGTTTGGAAATTTTTATTTCCACAGCTGAAAAATATTTGAATGAATATTACTTCCAAAGAAAAATCTCGCGACATCTTTATTTAATTCAATTCTTTGAGACTCGGAGGTTAATATTCCAAAACTTTTTATGGACGAGTTTTTTATTTTTTTAGGAGAGTTTTATTTACTTCCTCATTATTATCATTTGATACGTCGTTCTCTACTTCACAAATTGATATGTTCCGTATATGACATTTTTTGAGATGCGCTCGAATTCTTTCAATCTTAGAAGATATTATATTTTCACAGTGCTGACAAACTGTTTTTCCAACTTCATTTACTGAAACTTCACTTTTCTCGACGGTTTTCTTCCGCTTCCGAACGGCATGATTTACAATTTTGAATCTGTATCACAAAACACGTATTGAGTGAGAAATAAAAAATGAGTAATGTCAACTGTTAATTTTATAATGTTTGATAAAAATGAATTCTTTCTCTCTCTTTTCTAAACATGACGTTCATGCGTACACACGTTAAGGATTCTTCTATCTTTAATGACGAAAAATAGAAATTGTATTCAATTTATAGAGAATTTTATCATTTTTTAAGTGGAATTAAGCGAGTATTATCTAATGGGAAAATATACAATTTTTCGACAATGTTAAATTAGATCTCATAATTTCAGTTTCCATCTACAAAAATATTAAGTTATTACAATAAATCTAAAATACGGGTATACAATGTAAAGTACAAACGTACTTAAAACGGTTTATAATTACTTAAAATATTTTTTGTTATATTATTTGATTCTTATTTTATTTTTCAAAAATCATACTTAATTATTTTTGTTTTTTCAATGATTTTAATACTAATCTATAAAATAAAAATATTACAAAAATTGTGCAAACATTTAAAATAAATGATTGTTGTGAATATAAGATACTGTACAAATTTTTTCAAAAATTTGAAAAGTTTTGCTAGTTGAAGATCGTTTAAAAAAATCTATAAACAGATTTTTTTTAATATTATAAATAATGAAAAAAAATTTCTAACTAATGATAAAGATAACATTTTAATAATTTAATATGTAAGTACTTTAAAATAAGACATTTTTTTATACATAGAAATTGAGCTTAACTTGAGAAATATCTACGTTATTTATGAATTTTTATTATGATAGTGTGCTTATATAGATACACATTGTACAAATTTAGATAAAAACTGAAGTTTTCTTTTAGTCACATTGTCAGAATTTTCAATATTCAGAATATTGTTTGAATTTTTAGCCATAATTGTATTCTGCTCACATTTCTCTGAATTTCTAGCTATAGTTGTCTGAATATTTCTGATCTCGATATCTCTAAATATCAGAATTGTCTGAATTTCTAACCAGTTATATGAATATTTCTAATTTTGTCTGAACATTTAAACACAACTTTTATCTGAATTTCTACTATTTCTAGTCGCTAAAAATTCAGACAAAAGTATAGCAAGACGTTTTATTTTTTAATAACATAAAGGAACTTTAATACTTCTAATGTTAAATTCTTAAAAAATACTGTTTTAAAAAAAATATTGTTTAAAAAATTACGATTTTTAACCTCTTAGGCACGATGCGCCACTATAGTGGCTTTCGCGGATGTCATCTTTCTGAACGACGCGCCACTATAGTGGCTTTCGTGGATGTCATCTTTCTGAACAACGCACCACTATAGTGGCTCACTCTAGTGGCTCACTCGCTCACCGTTTGAATTAAATGATCGTTTTTATATGTTTTGTTTCACACTTTTTTTGCTTTCTCAACGTTTTATAACAGTGTTAACAATATACAGACAGAATATACAGTCTTTGTTTTTGATACCAGGGTAGGAATTGTTGCTTTTCATTTAAATAAATAGAAAACGAAGAGCAATTTGTTATAATTCAGGAACAGACTCGGAAATCGAAAATGATATAAACAAAAACATGCGTGGTAGGAAGAATAAAAAACGAAGATCACGCTATGAGTGTGAAGATTGTGACGTGGATCTATGTGTCGTACCGTGCTTTAAAATATATCATACTCAATTGTATTATTAATTATTAAAGTAAATTGTTAAAGTTAAAGTATGTGTATCATATCTTTAAGAAAAATTATAATTTAATCATCAAAAACTTCATTCCAATGTACTCGCGTAGAGAACAGCATTGTTCGTCACACGTTGCAGTGCTGTATCGTTTATGCATAATTCGCGTTGAACTCTGCCGTACAGAGAAACAGCCCCTCGCAAAATTCAGTCGTGCCTAAGAGGTTAATAATTAAATTAAAAGTATGTCAAGGCATAATAGAAATTCCGAATGTTTATTATGTCCCGATAATTTTAATTTCTCGAATTATTATTATGTCGCAACATAATAATAATTCAATGAATTAAAATTATGTCACGACATAATAAAAATTCAATATTATTTTTATGGCCATAATGAAATTTTCGTATTTTCATTATGTTTTAGAATAACTTTAAATCGTGTAATTACTATTATGTCGCAACATAATAATAATTCGATGAAATAAAATTATGTCACGATATAATAAAAATTCGGAATTTTTGTTATGCCTTGACATAATTTTAATTCATGGAAATATTTGTATGTTATGACATAATTTTATAATAATTTATTATTAAAAATCATAATTTTTTTTAAGACAATTATTTTTTAAGAATTTAACATTAGACTAAATTTTTTTTATGCTATTAAAAAGTAAAACGGCTTGCCATACAAAAGTGTCTAAATGTTCAGACATCAAAATTAGAATTCAGACAATGTCTGAATTGATATTCATTATTCAGGCATTGAGATAAGAAATATTTAGACAACTACATTTAGAAATTAAGAGAAATGTAGCCAGAAATTAATTTAATTGATACAACTACGGCTAAAAAATTTAAACAATAATACAATATTCTGTCCGAAAATTTAGACAATGTGACTATAACAAAATTTCAACTTCTGTCATTGAATTTTAAGACAATTTTTTTATACAGTGTACAGAAAATCGATTTAATGAAATTAATAATCAGGCAATTCCAAATAAAAAAACGAAACTTACCTGTTTCTTTAACACTGAATATATATCATTTTAAATAAAACTTTTAAAAAACTCGTACAACGTATTCTCTACGCTAAACAATTTGTACAAACCAAAATTTTCTTTTTTTTTTTTTAAAAGATAAAACTCTTTAGATCTTTTACGATATGTTTCTCTATGATGAACTATTTGCGACTAATCAAAATTTTCTTCGTTCCGCTTCTTCTCGATCTTTTTCATTTGTTTTAGAAAGCATAAGACCATGGTCCGATTCATGCTGACAACGCTCATGAGCATTTATCTTTAACATTTGACAAACAACAAAGATAAAATAATTTTTTAGCGTGTGAGCGTGAATCGGACCGCGACCTAAGAAAAGTTCATTCATTGAAAAAACAATAGCGATTAGCGAACCGTAGACGGTCTCGCGCTTGTTCACGGCATCACATGGCACCACGACGGTGACAAAGAGACCGCCGCGCTATTACATACACACTAGATTGCCAAGAAAAAAAATTTCTTTTTTATTTACAATTAGACAACATTGGCTGCTTTCGGAAACTTCACTCGTGTATCATCTTATCCTTGTTTAACATTGGGTAAACAACAAGAATAAAATGATATGCGAGGGGACTCGGGTGATGTTTCCGAACGCAGCCCTTAAATATGGGAATCAACTGTGAGCACCAGTCGTAGATCGATCAATTTAAAATAATCTGCAATTCTGCAATTTCTATAACAGTGCATCAGGATGCGAAAAATGAATTACGCAAGTCGTAATACTTTTTATCGCACTACAGCGTCTCTCAAACTTTATTGACATGTATCAAATGTAAGAAATGTTTTAAAGAAAATTGTTGAAGTGTAATAATAATTTCTTATGTTAGCAACACATTTTTTATTACATTTGAGGATAAAATATTTGAGGAAATCGATCAAAAATCAAAAATCAAAAATATTTGAAACTATCGATAAATGCTGAAATAGTATAATAATATTTCTTTCAATAATTATAATATTAAGTTATAATATTAATAAATTTATTATAATATTATATAATATAATAAAAAGCATTTGGGTATAAAAAAATCAACTCAAAAGCGGTGAATGTATATTATATATTTTATAGATTTTTAAATGTAATTTAGATACAATTTTAAATAAATTTATGGAAAGAGAACTTATAAAATCAAATATGCATTAAAAAGTATGCCTTTAAATAAAATTATATTACACATTTAAATATTAATACTATATACAATACTATCTATACAGTGATGGGAAAAAGTTCCGGAACGGTGAAGTATTTCAGCGAATTGCATTTTTTTGGGAAAATGTTAAATACAGAAGTTTTAGGA